ACGACCCGGGCCAGCGGCCCTCCTTCCGCGCCATCCTCAGGGACCTCAACGGCCTCATTACCTCAGGTGCCCGGTCTTGGTCGGGTGGTGAGAAGGAGGAGGGCCCCGGAGATGGGCGGGTACCAGGGGCGGGGAGGGAAGGGTCCCCAGGGAGGAGAGGGTCTGGGGGCGGCGGGGAGGGTCCTCAAGTGTGCACAAGGAAGCTGCTGGCTCCAACAGTCAGCGCCATCTAAGACAGCTGCAGCAACAAACAGGCCCCTTGGCTCAAGATTCGATACGCATTTGTTTCACAAGGTGGCCTCTCAAACTAGAGCGCTCGCGGCCTCACCTTCTGGGATGCTGGGATTTGGTTTTATTTTATTAATCTTAAAGTTTGCCAACACGATTTCTCATCTGAGGGTATCTGGGATCACAGGCTGTTCTCACTCCATGACTCTGCCCCCACTGGGGCCCATTTGTTTGTAACATTGGAGTCCCACAGAAAGTGCCTTGTCTGGACAGAGATGGTTTCCTCTCCCCACGTGGTACCCATGGGCTGGGTATAGTACACAGAGAAGGCAATGTTCAGGTGGAGTTCACACAGCAAGTCATTTCGATCTGAGGCAGAGAAAGATTACACTTACGCATGTGACCCCTAGATTATGAGCTCCTCTCAGACCCGACGCCCGGCAGCCTGAGTCCCCGAGATGAGCTGTGCACTGGCACCCAGCTCTACGCCTGCCAGGACCCCACCATCTTTGAGGAGAGGCACCTTAAATACATCTCTCTGTTGGGCAAGGTGAGTGGGCAGAGCGACGAGCGTGGGTGGGCGGGGCGGACAGCAGGCATGAGTGGGCAGGACATGGGCGTGAGTGGGCGGGGCGGGGTGGGTGGAGCAGGCAGCCCTCAGCCCCAGATGAGCCAGCTGACCCCTCATCCTCTCACAGGGCAACTTTGGCAACGTGGAACTGTGCCGATATGACCCTCTGGGGGACAATACAGGACCCCTGGTAGCAGTGAAGCAGCTACAGCACAGCGGGCCAGACCAGCAGAGGGACTTCCAGCGGGAGATTCAGATCCTCAAGGCGCTGCACAGCGACTTCATCGTCAAGTACCGGGGAGTCAGCTACGGGCCAGGTGAGCGGTTCGAAACCCGTCTCTATTCCCTTTCATCGGGCCCCATTGAGCAGTGACGTGCGACCCCGCCCCCCGAACCCCGGCTTACATAGTTGAGGCATGAACGAACCAACGCACGCGGTAGAAGGTGCGCAAGAGCTATTGTCGCTGTCCGCAGGTCGCCAGAGCCTGCGGTTGGTGATGGAGTACCTGCCCAGTGGCTGCCTGCGGGACTTCCTGCAGCGCCACCGCGCGCGCCTGCACTCCGGCCGCCTGCTGCTGTTCGCCTGGCAGATCTGCAAGGTGCGGTCATCGCGGAGGTCGGGGATCGAGGGCCCTGGGGTGCGAAATCCTGGCGCTGGGGGTTGGGAGTCAGCAAGGGTCCCGGATCCCGGGCCCATGGGCTCTCACGGCCCCTTGCAGGGCATGGAGTACCTGGGCGCGCGCCGCTGCGTGCATCGCGACCTGGCTGCGCGAAATATCCTGGTGGAGAGCGAGGCGCACGTGAAAATCGCGGATTTCGGCCTCGCTAAACTACTGCCGGTCGGAAAGGACTACTACGTGGTCCGCGAGCCAGGCCAGAGCCCCATCTTCTGGTGAGAGACCCAGCCCCAGGCGCCGCGCCCACCAGGCCCCGCCCCTTCGGCCGTTTCTAGTCTAGCCCCGCCTCTCCCCACGGCCCGGCTCTTCAAACTCCACGGGTTCGCTTCTCCTCTCTGACCGTCTGGCTCCTCCCCTCACGCACCTTATACCTAGATGCCCATCATACAAAGCTGACCAGTCCCAAGCCCCGTCCTATCCCCATAGACCACGCCCACAGGACCCCCCATTATCCCTTTAGTGCCCGGGAGCTTCTGAGTCGGCTCCTGCGGGCAGTGCCACTACGAAGGCGCCTGACCACGCCCATGCCACCATACACGTGAGCTAACCTCGCACCTGTCCCCACGCAGGTACGCCCCAGAATCCTTGTCCGACAACATCTTCTCCTGCCAGTCTGACGTGTGGAGCTTCGGCGTGGTGCTGTATGAGCTCTTCACCTATAGCGACAAGAGCTGCAGCCCTTCGGCCGTGCGTACCCGCCCCGCCGCGCCACTCCCGCTGACTCCCAGTCTCTCCCCGCGTCTCCCAGCCCCTCCCTCCTGACTTCCAGACCTCTTCCTGACCCCCAATCCTCCTGATTACTCCAGCCCTCCTCTTGACTCTCAACCCTACCCACTTGACACCAGCCCCCCCCACTCCCAGCCCTCCCTCGTGACCCCCAGCCTCCCCCTCTCGACTCCCAGCCCCTCCCCCTGATTCCCAGCCCCTCCCTCCTGACCCTCAGCCCTCCCCCTGATTTCCAGCCCTCCTTCCTGACTCTCAGCCCTCCCTCCTGACCCCCAGTCCCTCCCCCTGACCCCCAGCCCTCCCCCGACTCCCAGCCCCCCTCCTGACCCCAAGCCCCTCCCCCTGACTCCCAGCCCTCCCTCCTGGCCCCTCCCCCTGACCCCCAGCCCTCCTTCCTACAGGAGTTCTTGCGCATGATGGGGCCAGAGCGTGATGGGCTTGCGCTCTGCCGACTTCTGGAGCTTCTGGCAGAGGGCCGGCGCCTCCCAAGGCCTCCTGCGTGCCCCACTGAGGTGAGGGAGGCAGGCTCGGTTTCCCAGTTTCCTTCCTTCCTTCCTTTCTTTTTTTATTTTTCAAGACAGGGTTTCTCTGTGTAACAGTGTAACAGCCTTGACTGTTCTGGAACTTGCTCTGTAGTCCAGGCTGGCCTCAAAATCGCAGAGATCCGCGGTCTCTGCCTCCCGAGTGCTGGGATTAAAAGCATGCACCACTACTGCCAGTATCCATTCTTGATTAACAGCGGGGGTCCTGGCCCCAAGTTGGCCTCTCCGTCCCTGTGTGGCTAGTGACAGGTGCTTTGAAGATCCTTGGTTTACCCATATGCAGAATTGGAATGCCCCTGCTTAACAGAATGAGGGAGGCTCGGCGGCGAGGCTTTTGTTTTACCTTGGTTGAGACAAGATCTTGCTATGCAGCCTCTGCGGCCCGGAAATCGACGACATCTCCCAGCCTCAGTATCCCCTATACGGAGAAGACAACTACATGCACCACTACGACCCCTCCCAAATCCATATTTTATTTTTTCTTTTATTATTTACTTTTTTGCAATGCTGAAAATTGAAGCCAGGGCCTCACATGCTCTAGGCAAGCGCCCCACTACTGAGCTACAGTGTTCTAAGGCGCCTTAAAAGATGATTCAAGGGTTTGTCAGGCCTCTCCCAAGCGTAAACCATGCCGTTGGAGAAGGTGGTAGAAGTCATTCCCAGTCAGAGACCAGGCCATAAGGTGGGCGTGGTGCCTTTACGTGGTAGACAGAAGCAAATGTGGGGCAAGCTGTGGCCATGCCTGTCACCCCAGCAGTCTGGAGCTGAGGCAGGAGGATTGCCACGAGTCTGAGGCCAGTCAAGGTTACTGAGACCCTGTCTTCAGACTTACTTTCTGTCCCGAGATCCACAGGGAGCCGTGGAGAGTTGTGGGTCATCAGCTCTGGTCCCACCTACCTCCCTCTGTGCCCTCAGGTTCAGGAGCTCATGCAGCTGTGCTGGGCGCCCCGCCCGCAGGACCGACCGACCTTCAGCACCCTGAGTCCGCAGCTGGACGCGCTGTGGCGTGGAAACCCCGGGTAGCAGCCAGGGTGAGCATCGGTTTCCCATGGGCTGGTTGTCCGACCTCAGCAGGGAGCTGTCTGCCCCTGGGCCCCACCCTTTACAGGTTGCTCATCCCTGCTCCCCCCCCCCTTCCAACCTTTCCTTTCAGAATACAGATGTTAAATTATATGACCCCAGGATCTGCGCAATTGTCACCTCTGGAAACACTTTCCTGGCACAGCCTCCTCCTACAGAAGTCCAGATCCTAGTACTGCTCCACCTGGGCCAGGAACTCACCCGCCCCTTCCTCCCGGTCAGGGTGTGCAGAAAGTGCCTGTATCCATCTCCCCTGCCCTGTGGGCTCAGTGCGACTCCTTACAGGTTGGGCTCTGGGACTGTTTGATGAATAAATAAATGAATTCATTAGAAAAAAATGGTTTATGACTGGAATTAGGGGTGTTGGAGAACTGACTTATGGCGTGTGGTTCAGACTTGGGGGCCAACTGTGGGGTTCTGAGAGGAAGAACAGCTGAAGGAGAGGCCTTGGCTAGACCCAAGGACACCCCCCCTTCTGCCCAGCTGCGGTCCTTGGCTGACTGGTTCTGGCAAGGGACCGGCAGAGGCCAAGGCCCAAGAAGGGTGGAGCCAGAACTGCGGCACCCCAGAACGGTGCCCACAGTCCCCCACAAGAGCTCCCGAGGTAGGGAAACAGGGGAGGGGGTGCAAATCATAAATACTCCCTCGCATCTCCTTCACAGCCCAAACTTCTTCTAATTCATAGTAATTCTCCTGCTTCAGCTTTCCCAGTGCCAGCAAGATATGTGGGCGCTACCCTTCCAGCAAGAGGGGCATTGGCTTGTTCAAAAATGATGGGAGGTCCTGGCGCTTGGGAGAGGGACTTCAGGGTCCCTGGCTGGACACACGGCCTCTGGCCATGAAATGAGAGCCTCGACCTTCTCCGTGCTGTACGCGGTGTTCCCACCAAGGCCCGTGGGCGGCGCGAAGCCACTATAAGGGGTGTCCACGCGAGCCGCCTCCCGCCATCATGCACACGCTGACGCTGCTGCTGCTGCTGCTGCTCCCGGCTCTGGAGCTCGCCCTGCGAGCCCCGCAGCCCCAGGAGATGCGAGCCGAACTCTGCGGCCACCACCTGGTGCGCGCACTGGTGCGGGTATGCGGGAGCCCGCTCTGGTCCCCCGAAGTTACGCAGCCAGTGAACGCCCGCGACCGTGAGTGGGGGTCCGGGCGGGGCGGGGCCGACATGCACAGATAACTGGGAGGGGCAGATCCCTCACGGTGTCGCCCCCATAACAGGGGACTGGAGTTCATTCATTTTTTTTTTAATTTAACTTTTCCATTTTTGGAGTTTTCGGGACGGGGTCTCATGTAGCCCAGGCTGGATTCAAACTCACGACGTACTCGAGGATGACCTTGAACCCCTCACCTTAGGCTTGCCTGCTTGGGTGAATGGCATAAGTCGTCACCACAGGACTAATTGCTTTTTTTTTTTTTTGAGACAGGTTTCTCTGTGGCTTTGGAGCCTGTCCTAGAACTAGCTCTTGTAGACCAGGCTGGCCTCGAACTCACAGAGATCTGCGTGCCTTTGCCTCCCAAGTGCTGGGATTAAAGGCGTGTGCCCCCACCGCCCGGGTTGACTAATTGCTTTTTAAAGACACATTCTCACTACACAACATAAAGTGACCTTGAACTCACAGGAATCTTCTTGCCTTGGCATTCTCAGCGCCCTCCCTGGGAGATTGGGGCGGACTCTTTCTCCAGCCCTAGAGGAGAAACACCCCTTGGTACCTGTGCATAGCTCTCAGTGGCTCCTTCCTGACGCTGGGGGTACTCCCCAAAGAGCAACGGGGGATCCCAGTCCTGAGAGCATCTCTAGGGACCCCAGCCTTCCAGGCCCAGAAACTGAGGCTCACAGGAGGTTTATGGGGACACACACAGATGGAAGGTGAGTGTGGGCAGCAGCTGAGAGTACGGGAGAATTCCGCAGGCGCTCTGTATGCGCTCCCTTGTCACTGGACACATAATAAACGCGTGCTGGGTGTCTGGAGTGACTTAAACTGACTCCTGCTCGACCTGCAGGGGAGTTGCTACGGTGGCTGGAGCAGCGGCAGCTCCTGCATGCGCTTGCGGCTGACACGCTGGACCCTGCGCTGGACCCCGGCCGGCAGCTTCCTCCCCAGGCTCCTCAGCGCCACCGCCGCAGTGCCGCCATGAACCCTGCACACCGCTGCTGTCTCACTGGCTGCACTCAGCAAGACCTGAGGCGCCTCTGTCCCACCTGAGGGGGGTCCTGGACTCAGGCGATGGGTCCTTGATAGCTCCCCCCCCCACCCCCCGTCAGGATGCTCTATACCTCCAGGGCCCGTGTGAATGCAACAGCCCGGGTTTGCCTCGGAGGAGTCCCAGTTATTCTTAGATCCCAAAAATGGAGGGTCACACGTCCTGTCCCAGGAGGAGCCTCCAACATGCCCTGTGTCATTCCCCCCTACCCCTTGTGTCCCCGACGATCTAAATAAAAAAGCAACTTCACACATTTTGTTTGGGAAAAGCCACACGGGGGTGGGGGGCAGCGGCGGGCTGTGGCTGTGCTCCAGTCACACGAAGACCTGAGGTGACGCCAGATCACACAGGGGAAACAGGCTCGCTGCTTGGGGAAGTTAGGCGGGTTTGCCCCGCCCACCCCCGCCCAGGTGTGCAGAGTTCTGTGTCCTTCCTGACTAGGACCCCCACTGTTGCAGCAACAACAGTCACACCGGGGGCCCCCACCTTTGAGGAAAACAAAACAAAGGAATGGATGGGGACCAAAGGGGACTTGAGAAGTGATGATGTCACATGGACGCTCGATTTTGTAAGTTAATATCCAAGGTAAAAGAGCGGAGTATCGCAGACAGCATTAGAACGTGAATAGTGCTGGAAACAAGATTAAAGCTGGCACTGGCGAGAGGACTCTGAGTAGAGGCGCTTGCCGCCAAGCCTGAAGATCTGAGTTCAAGCCCCAGGGGTGGACCCTTTGTCTACCCACGGCGTGGCATACCCAATGAAAGAATAATTCTAAATCGATGAAACGAAAAGGGGTCAAGTCCCGTGTTCTGTCCCCCGCACTGTAAGCCATCGCCTTCAGCCTTCCACAGACTTTATTTCCCGCCACCCGTCTGTGGGACACAGGACCCCTCTTATCCCTACGCTGTTCCCTGAGTCCTTGGGGGACATCACTGGGGCCAAGTCAAGATCCTCCTCGCTCCCTGGCCTCACTTTCTTGGGGACCTGCGGAGGCAGAAGCTCAGGGCAAGGCCGGAGCCTGCCACCGGGAGCTCCGAGCTGGGCCGCGGCCCGCAGCAATTCTCCTTAGCTCATGCTTGTTCAACCCCGAGCCTGCCACCGTGAGCAGTACCGAGAGGGTTTTGAAGCTTACGCCGGCTCCTCAGACCTGCCCTGACACCGCACGAGGGTGGGGACAGGAACCGGGGCGAGGGGGGAGGGTGCTGACCACCCCAGCGTCTCAGGAGACCGCGCTCTGCTTGCCGCAGGAGAGCTGGGGCTGGCTCAGGGCGTCCCACATCAGCAGCGTCTCGAAGGGCAGGAAGCGGTGCACGAGGAGCAGCCCCCGGTAGAAGCAGGGGTCGAAGGAGGACAGGCGGGGACTGGGGGCGCGCACCCCAGCCGTGCGCACCCCGTCGTGCGAAGCGGGCTCCAGGCCCTGCTGCTGCAGACACATGCCCAGGAACACGTCGTCGATGGGGAAGATTGGGAGGTCTCGCGCTGCGCGAAACAGCGCGACCGCCGTGAAGCGCGACAGCAGGAAGCCGCCGCCACCGCAGTAGGGCGGGTAGCTCTCGTCCGGGGTCACCAGCTTGGGCACGAAGTACTTGCTCCAGGGCAAGCGGATAGGGCCCACGTTCTGGATCAGGTGGCCCACGAAGAGGTGGCGGTCCGGGTCTTGGCCCTGCAGGTAGGTGACCATGTTGTCCGTGTTCGCAAAGACGTCGTCGTCCCCGTTGAGCACGAAGCTGGCGTCGGGGCAGCGAGTCCGCTGCCACTCCAGGAAGAGGACCTGCGGGTGGAGTGGGGGACACGCGGGCTGGCGAGGTTCCCCGGGCCCCCTTCCCTGCGTGGGCCTCTTACGCATACTGCAGAACCCCACTTCCCTCGCCCACCTGCTTAAGCGTGAGGTTGAAGAAGGAGTCGTGGAAGTCCCACTGCACGATGTCGCCGTACGCCCGCGCCTCCAGCTCCAGCAGCCGGCTGAATTTGCGCGCCTCTCGCGGGTCGCGGTCGCTGCCCACGAGGAAGAGGCGGCGCAGCGGCGCCCCGTGCACCTGCCGCTCCTGCGCCCACGTGCGGCGCAGCACCTGGCGGCGACCATAGTTGGCCGGCGACGACTTTATGGCGAGCAGCAGGAACACGGGCCCTGCGCACTTGGCGGCCGGCGGCTCCCGCAGCAGCGGGAAGTCGCGGCAGTGTCGGTACAGCAGGAAGTCGCGCACGTGCGCGGGCAGCTCGCTGAAGTCCGGGTGCTCGGCCACCGACAGGTTGGCCAGGCACGGGGCGGAGGCCGCTCTCGGAGGGTTCGGGGGCCACGTGGCGACCTCCTGGGGCTCCGCGGGCCTCTCCAGGGCGGGGCAGCCGGGCGGCCACACGTGAGACAGGAGCAGCAGGGAGATGGCAGCCATGGCCAGGACGAGGATCACGCCGGGGCGCGGCCGGGGCATCCGCATGCGTAGGGAGGCCTAGAGCAAGATCATGGGAGCTGTGGACCCAGGGTGGACAGACACGAACGCTCAGTCCTCCTCGCCCTCCCCTACCAGTATTGATTTTTGTTGGACTCGAACCCAGACCAGATCCTCACGGAGCCTTGTACCCAGCTGTCTCCCTTGGCAATCTCCCACCCTCCTTCAAACCCATTTTGAATGATCCGTGACCCAGGCATTCTTCATTGACCCTTCTGGCCCCTGGCACTTCTGGGCCCTGGCCCCGCCCAGCATGAGGCCATGGCAGAAAGCATTTGATGTTTGTGGTAAACTCTTACAAATCCATCGGAACCCCAGCTCACATGGTCTCGATTTCAGGAAACTTTATTCCCCACTGACACAGAGTCGTGTAGCTCAGGCTGGCCTCAAACTGGCTGTGGAGCTGAGGATGGCCTTGAGCTGCCACCGCCTGCCCTAGCGTCCTTGTCACCAGGCCTGGCTCTCCTCCCAGGCCGCAGGGCTTAGCCTACAAGCGCCTCGCCTGAGGACTGGGAACCCTGAGCACGGGGAGCAGACTCACTGAACAGGCCCACACACCCTGGCTTTGTGCCCTGACCTTGGCGCCTCCCGCACCCCCCCCACCCCCATCACCGCACACAAAGCATTTCCAGCAACAAGTCTTTGTTGAATGACTGCTGAAACTTAGCACTTACCTTGGTATCGGTATCCGTATCCGTGCTGAGCCAGGCAGTCTTGGAACTCCTCCACAGAACCTGGAACTATGTGGGGGTTAACAAGTGTCCTTGAGACCGTAGGCTTCAAGCAAACCCACTGCTACTGCCTGGACCAGGCTGGCCTCTGGCTCTGTGCCATGGGTTCTGCTGTGTGATTTTGACACAGTGGTTTGACCTCTCTGAACCTCCAAGTCAAACAAGATGGACCCCAGGAAAAGTGCCGGGGGCCTCAGGAATGTAGTCTGCTACTGCTATTGATTTTCACAGGGAGGTTTTGTTAGCTGCCATTCAGCTAGACCCTGACCTATGGGTCATTAGGGCATTCATTCATTCGCCTAGTGGATACACATAGGGCTCTCAGGCTTTTCCTGAAGTTTGAGTAGCTTCAGTCAAAGTCAGGGAAAATTCCTCCTGCCCAGGCTAGACCTCTATCAATGCCTAGGCTAGACCTCTATCAACGCCTAGGCTAGACCTCTACCAATGCCCAGGCTAGACCTCTATCAATGCCTAGGCTAGACCTCTATCTACGCCTAGGCTAGACCTCTACCAATGCCCAGGCTATACCTCTATCAATGCCTAGGCTAGACCTCTATCAACACCTAGGCTAGACCTCTGTTAACATGAACGAGATCTTCAGATTTTGCCAAGCCACCCAAACTCCTGTTAAAAACTCAAACATGCCAGGAGTGCCTGGGGCACATGCCTTTAATTCTAGCACTAGGGAGGCAGGAGCAGAGGGATCTCCATGAGTTCAAGGTGAGCCTGGTCTACACGATGAGTTCCAAGACAGCCTGGACTACAAACTGAGCCTCTGTCTCAGAAATAAATAAATAAATAAATAAATAAGATATTTTTCCTCATCTCATCAACAACTCTGTGTGTGGGTGTCCAGAAGCCTGAGACACCTTAATCCTGGAGAAGACCCTGACATCCAGGGTCCCACAGAGAGAAGACAGTGACCTAGTAAATGGGACTGGGACACCAAGGCTGAGGCTTTGAAGGATGCACAGGAGTTCAACGAAGGCCATCCAGCTGTCAGGGCAGACCACAGACAAACCACAGAGGGACATGACCTGGTTCAGTCTCAGTCCCTACAACAGCTGCCTGAATGTGGGAGTTGGCCCGTGGAGCCAAGGGTTGGGGCAGCAGGGGATGATGTGGGGTCACACAGAGGTGAGGCAGACACAGCTCAGGGGACACAGAGGGAGGTGACCCTGAGAGAGCTGGGCGGGGCCTCGTACAGGGTGGGGTGATTTAGGCAGCTCAGTGTGAGTGCACTGGGAACAGAACCAGGGTCACCTGTCACCCCCAGCGGCCCTGAGTACACATCTGCAGTGACAGCAGCTCACAGTGCAGCCCAGGCTAGCCTTGAACTCAGGAGATCTGCCCACCCCAGCCTGAGGTTAAACCTGTGAGGATAGAGAGTGGCCTGGGGAGGACTCAGCGGGTAAAGGGGCTTGTCACCAAGTCTGAGGACCTAGATGGAAACCGACCCGCATGCGGCGGGTGAGGGATGGAGGGGATTCAAGGCGAGGGAGGTGGCATCTGGGGCTTGAAGGACCCTTTGGGACACAAACCCCAGTAAGGGACCTGGGTGCGTGGGCAAAGCACTGCGCGTGCGCGCTGTTGCCCACCACCAGCAAGGCGCTGAAGTGGGACGCGGTATCAGAAGCCTGAGGTCACAGAAAGTCGCAAAAATTCCGGCGGTCCCCAGGCCTGGAGCCCAGAGCAGTGTTCTGTTCCCACCAACAGAGGTGAGGGGTAGTGGTGGGGGAACTGAGGAGAAAGCGGTCCCTGTGGTGACTGCCACATCCATGCTGAAACTGAAACAGAAACAGCTTCAAGTAGCAGCAGGAGAGGAGGGGCCCGGGAGGACAGGAGGGAAAAGAAGCAGGCTGCAGGGAAGGCCTAGGATCTCCCAGTGAAGGGCTGGGGCGGGGCTCAGGGTGGAGCCCCTGAGTAGCATTTGCTGGGCACAGGATTCACTCACTGCCCTTCCCCCACTGCATTGGCGGAGCAAACCTTTAATCCCAGGGGGAGGCAGAGGCAGGTGGATTTCAAGGCCAGCCTGGTCCACAGAGAGAGTGCTGGGGCAGCCAGGGCTACACGGAGAAGCCTGAGTGTAGCACGAATAATGAAAACCCAGAGATGATACTGGGGTTCAAGCTGAAAATCAGACAAGCAAAGCATCAGCCAATGAGAGCTCAGACAAACACAGGGCGACGCTCAGCGTGACTGTAGCTCTCCACCAAACTGAGTGGCCCTGAGACTGCACTGAACTCGGACCTCAGGTTCCTATTAGTGCTGGAATCAAAGGTGTGAGCTGTTTCTCTTCTTACCCTGACTCGCTCTCCGGTAGTCAAGGGTGCCCTTGAGTCCTGGAATTCTAGTGGCTTAGCTCTACACTCTAATCTTTAGGAAGCTTTATTTACTAATGCCCAAATAAAATATCACTATGTATGAGGCCGTGGGAGCTGCAGAGCGTGATACACGGAGGATCTGAGAACATCTTTGGGATGGATGTCTGGACCTCTGGGACACTTCTGGGATATTCTCCCACAGACTGGGGGGTGTAGAGCAGGTTGGAGCTTTGGGAAGGAACCTATCTGGGTCCAGTGGTCAGCCTCGGTTTCCAGCTGACAGACACGTGCCCGCGGCCACCGCGCCAGGCTGGGCAGGGTGAGCTGTACCAGCCCTGACCCCAGTGAGGTTCCTCTCGGGATTGTACCCAGTTTGCCTTCCCTTAACGTTGACAAGTTTCTCTTTATAAACAAAAAGAGACTTTCTATAAAGATAAAGCTATGGAAAGCCTCGCCCCAGGTCCACATGGTGACCAGGTCCGTGATTCACGGAAGGGCGCCGCTTCCCTCTTCCGGATTAGGGAAGGAAGGAGCCAGGATCCCAGACCATCATCCCAGATGGGGAAACTGAGGCTGGGGAGGGGAGGCCTGGATCCTCGCCCCTTCCAGGAAGCAGGGCTCGGCCTCACAGCAGCCTCACAGGGTCCCATTTAGGGTCACTCTGAGTCCCCACCCCTCCAGGTGGGTCCCATCCATGCAATAGATTTCTTCCGGTGACATTTCCATCAGGATTACAATAATCACGTTAATTTTCTCAAAGATAAATGTCACAGACAAAAGAGCCAAGTAATCAAGATTCAAGAGAATACAGGGGCCGAGCTCAGAGGCCTGGGGGTCGAGACAGGGGGTCGGTCAGCACTGGGATCGACCAAGTTAGCTTCCCGCAAGGGGGGACACTGAGCTGGACGCCCAGCCGAGAGCGGGGCCTGTGGGACTCCGGACCTCTGGACGCAGAGGAGTCCCCAGAGGCCCCCTAGGGTCCGCACAGCCTAAGCCGAGGCGGGAAGTGCTACGGGAGGGAGGGGATCTGGCCTGGGCCTGGCTGCTCAAACACTGGAGCCAGATGGAGACCAACTAGTGTCTTCCCGCAGCCACACCTTCCTCTCCTGACAACAACAGGCCAAGGGAAGAAGTAAAACGGGGGTCCAGACCCAGCTCTCGAGAGGCCGAGGAAAGAAGGTTCAAAGCCAGTCTCAGAAAGGAAAGGAATAAAGCAAGAAAAAAGAAGGTAAATTACCCTCAAAGTGTCCGAACCTTGGCTAGCAACACGAACTCTCTTACTTTAACTATGGTGATAGAAGACTGACTACCCACTTAGTGGCCACCGCGCCTCGCAGATCACCTTCACCGCAGGCTCATGCCAACAGGGGGAAACTGAGGCTTGGAGATCCAATGCTTCTCATCCGAGCTTCCCCGGTGTCGGCGTGAGGACAAAGATTCCGAACACCTGGAAACATCACAGACACAAACGGGAAACCGAGTCAGGGTCAGAGCCACTAGGCGATGCGGACACGAACTGGCGAGAAGCGCTGGCACCTGACCCTGGAATATGGCTCGTCCCCATGGCCCCTGGACTGGAGCGGTCAGTAGCTCGCGGTCAAGGACGCGCAGAGAGTCTTGTCTGGGCCGCCATAGACCCCCCAAACCCCCCACGGCCCCCAGGACTCCCGCACTCACCGTGGGAGCCAGCTCGGGACTGCCGGGGGAGGAAGAATGGTTTCCACCTGACCGACAGCCCCACCCTGGCTCTTGGCTTCTCTCCTCCTTCCGCCTCCTCCCCGCCCTCCCTGTGGAATCCTTTCCCCAGCCCCACGAGCTGCCTACTGACCGAGGGGAAAGTCCCCCTCGCGCTGTTTCCGCGCCCCCTCTCCGACTCCTTGACTCTCCCCTCCCCATCCTGTTCCCCATGGTGACCTTTCCTGTCCCCCATCCATCCTCCCACCAGTTCTGTGGTACCGCCCCTCCTTCGCTTAGGGCCTCCCTTTCCCTTCACCCACCCCACTGTGAGGGAGCAAGGGCTCCCCGGCGCTGTACTGTAGAAGCCACAGTACAGTCACCGTCTGCCACCCCCCTCCTCAACTCAGCCACTGCTGCAGCCCCCTCCGCAGCTCAGCCCCTCTGCAGTCCCCATCCAGAGCTCAGCCCTCGCTGCAGCCCCCATTCGCAGCCCAGCCCCCGCTGCATGAAGACACATTCCACTGAGAAGAGAGATCCCAGAAACCTAGAGGATTCCAGAGCCCTAAAACCTGTTGATAGGCCCTCTGACTTTTTTTTTCCCTCGAGACAGGGTTTCTCTGTAGCTTTGTAGCCTGTCCTGGAACTAGCTCTTGTAGACCAGGCTGGCCTCGAACTCACAAAGATCCGCCTGCCTCTGCCTCCCTAGTGCTGGGATTAAAGGCGTATGCCACCACTGCTTGGGCCCCCTTGACTCTTAAATACCAGATTCACGTAACCTGTTCCCCTCCTCCGGAGTTACCCACAAAACCTGTAGGTCCTAATTCTTGAGTTTGGGGTCCTAGTAGTCTGCTGAGAGAGAGGAATTAAGTACATAAACTAAAAACTGAGTCTTCCTGGACCAGTATGCAGTAGATAGAGTTACAGAATCAAGTGTCACATGACACAGTGATCCCTCCCTAAGTGGCAATCCCCAGAGAACTCCAAACAAGGGATCAGGCTCTGCAACTGGAGGTCTTTGCAGTCCCACTTGCAACGCTGTGGTCTGCCCAGGTGCTGGAATATTGGTCGGTCATGAAAAGGGAATGAAGCCTCCGTAGGGGGACATGTTGCTGAGTGTCAGCAGCCGACACAAATGTCCCAACTGTCACAGGGCAGGGAAATCCACAGACAAGGAGCTGATCGGGGGCTGCCAGGGCTGGGGAGGGGGTTTTGGGGGGGAATGATTCTCTAGAAATACACGAGGTGAGGCTGCCTAGGCCCACAGTGCCAAGTGCTGCTGCACCATTGCCCTGGGAAAGGTTTGTTTTCTGCCCTTCGGTTCCACTCACTTGAGAACACGTCCCTTGGCCCCTGCCGGAATGCCAGTGGCTCAGCCACCCACTGCCTTTCAAATGGTCACTCTCTGCATAGTTGAGGTTTTGGAATCACTCAGGTGCAAGTGACCACAACGCCATAAACAGGTAATGACACCCCACCCAGGGCCCTGCCCTGCTGCTGAGACGCACCCTCCTAAGATAAGTACCTGTCTCCCCAGGGCTCCGGGAGGCCGGGTGAAGGAAGTCAGATCTGAGAAAAAGGCCTCTTGTGTTTTTAAAGGTGCCCTACCTTCCTGTACCCCAAGGAAAGCAAATTCAAGCTACCAGGAGGTGCCATGTTCTCAGAACTTATCAGATGGGCAGGGCGGCAAGGGCAGATCAACCATATGCTGGGATGCTGACGGTAACTGCCACGTAGCACCTGTAGAGGTGAAAACAGGGACCAGCCACCAATCCACATGCACACGTGAGAGGGAGGCAGGGAAGTGGGCGCAACAACAGGCTTCTGAGGTATGAACAATTTACAGGATAAAACTCAGAAACCCAGACCCTCTCAGCAGACCACAGTGGGGAGGTCAGAGAACCAGAGGGTGTTTATAACACAGGTGTGGGTGGAGGCTGCTTGTTTGTTCCTGGCTGCCCAGACCATGAAATAATCACACAGAAACTATAACACTGTTTGGCCAACAGCTTAAGTGTATTTCTGGCTAACTCTTATATTTTTTTAAAAAAGGTTTATTTATTTATTTATTTATTATGTATACAGTATCTGTCTACATGTATCCCTGCAGGCTAGAAGAGGGCACCAGATCTCATTATAGATGGCTGTGAGCCACCATGTGGTTGCTGAGAATTGAGCTCAGGACTTCTGGAAGAACAGCCAGTGGTCTTAACTGCTGAGCCATCTCTCCAGCCCCTATCTCTTATATCTTAAATCAACCCATTTCTATTGATCTGTGTATAGTCATGTGGCTGTGTGGGTAAAGTTCCATCGGGAGTCTGTCTCCCGTGGGGCTACATGGCTTCTCCTTGACTCTGCCTACTCTCTCCTCCTCTATCTGCTTGGAACTCCTGCCTTGCCCTATTCTGCTAAGCCACTGGCCAAAACAGATTTATTCATTAACCAACAAAAGCAACACATAGATAGAAGGACTTCCCACACCAACTAGGCAGTCCTGCTCTCAGCGCCTCACTGGAGAAGTCTAGGCAGAGGCTCCGCCTCTGAGCCACACCCCCAACTCCTCACTGGAGGATTCTAGGCCAGGATCCACCCCGAGCCACACCCCCAGTCCCACACTGGGGATTCTAAACTGGGGATCCACCCCTGATTCATGCCCCAACCCCTTATTGGAGGATTCTAGGCTGTAACTTCACCTCTGAGCCACACCCCCAGCTTCTAGGTTCTGGATCTGAGGTCCAGGCTTGGTCAAGGATCCTCAAAGACACAAGGTGTAATCAGAGGTCCCCACATGTCCTTTGAGATTCAAGATGGACCTGTTCCCCACCCCAGCAAGCTGGAGTCACTCCTGACTTGGATCCCATCCACTCTTCTCTTCTGCATACGTCACATGCACAGCCTCCCCACAGATCCTGACCAACCCGTGGCAGACAGGCAATCTAAGGCTAGAGTCAATCAAAGCCGTCCTGGCTTTTAGGTGTAGCGCGATTAATAAAAACCCAGAGACAGAAATTGGGGTTCAGACCGAAGATCAGAAAAACAAAACAGCCAGCCACTGGCTCTTACCGCAACCTCAGTCCCAAATGGTGATCCTGCCTCTAGGAATCCTCAGAATGAGACTGTGTCTGAGAGCTGTCTCCTCCCGTTTTATATTCCTCTCTAGGGCTGGGATTAAAGGTGTGTGTCACTACTGCCCGGTCTGTAAGGCTGACTCTCTGATCTTCGGGCAAGCTTTACTTATTAAAATACAAATGACATATTACTATTACACTTCCCCTTTTTGTCTAAAATAAAAAGAAAGCTATAACTAATATAAGAATATTAAGAGTATATACAATAAATACAATGACTGTATACAGTCTATACAGGCAATATATCAACAATGTCTAGTCAGTTAACAATTGATAAATTCAGAGAAAATACTCCATATCTATCTTATCTTGGTGAATCCAAAGTCTTATATCTAATTTACTATCTGTCATAACTTGATTTCTGTGTCTGGCAAACTATAAGTATAACTAACTAATCTTCAACTCCCTCCGAGACCCAATAAGGAAATAATAATAACTTAGTAAACAGAAAGTGCAAGCAAGGAACTTCCAAAAAATGTGAGAAATGACAGAAACAGATGGCTGCCTGGACAGTCACCCAAAGTTCCTCTGCAATGTTGGGGCATCCATCTTAGGCCTACAGGCCTAGCATATCTGACAGACTTTTCTGTGAAGCAGGATATTCTAAGGTCTGTCCCTCCTTGTCTTGACAGTGTCTGGCAAGTCACTTTGTTTTCTGTTCTGCTTGTCCAGTTAGGACAGCATTCTGTCAGCAGTCGCAGTAAGGACATTTTCGTGCTCTGTGGCTCCCTTTTGCCACGAAGGAAGTAAAACTCTAAGTGGCATTCTTCGCTGAAGTAGATTGGTGCTGCCAGGCATGCCTCATTGTCATAAAAAGGAGATAATGTTATTAACACATCTTAAATGCCATATTCTGCAGATCTCTGAAGTGTTTGACAATGATGTGATAAAATCTGTCTTTGTTTTAATTCAATTATAATAGGTGACTAATTACTAGCCTGTATTTCTTTATTATCCTAAACAGTTGGTAATGATAACTTTCAAGGACTAGAAATTTGCATGACATTGTTAAATGAGCTGTATGGGTACAACACCGTGAACAAGATTAGAAATGTATGTACAGCATGTCCTAAAATTGATCCTATTGTATGTTCTCTTTTTTTTTTCTTTGAAAAATAAGAATCTTGAATCTTAATTACCTTTGATTAGTTTTTTTCCTGAACATTATCAATAATAACTTGTAACTAGCCCCGTAAAAAAGAAAAATAGGCCGGGCGGTGGTGGCGCACGCCTTTAATCCCAGCACTCGGGAGGCAAAGGCAGGCGGATCTCTGGGAGTTCGAGGCCAGCCTGGTCTACAAGAGCTAGTTCCAGGACAGGAACCAAAAGCTACGGAGAAACCCTGTCTCGAAAAATCAAAAAAAAAATAGTCCACAATCCATTGAACAAACAAAAACCACCCACCCTAACTCTTGGTAATGTGGGTGTCATATTCATTTTTTTCTTTTTCAATTGATACTTATTGAGCTCTACATTTTTCTCTGCTCCCCTCCTTGACTCCCCTCCCCGCTTCAGCCCTCCCCCAAGGTCCCCATGCTCCCAATTTACTCAGGAGACCTTGCCTTTTTCTAATTTGTACTTCCCATGTAGATTAGATCTATGTAAGTCTCTCTCAGGGTCCTCATTGTTGTCGAAGTTCTCTAGGATTGTGGTTTGTGGGCTGGCTTTCTTTGCTTTATGTTTAAAAACCACCTATGAGTGAGTACATGTGATAATTGTGTTTCTGTGTCTGGTTACCTCACTCAAAATAATGTTTTCTAGCTCCATCCATTTTCCTGCAAAATTCAAGCCGTCGTTATTTTTTTCTGTTGTGTAGTACTCATTGTGTAAATGTACCACATTTTCCTTATCCATTCTTCGATTGAGGGCCATTTAGGCTGTTTCCAGGTTCTGGCTATAACAAACAAAGCTGCTATGAACATAACTGAGCACATGTCCTTGTGGCACGATTTAGCATCCTTTGGATATACACCCAAAAGTGGTATTACTGG